TAAAAAACAGAAAACAAGAAAAAGCCCTCAAGAATAGACAGAGCACGTGAAGGAATGGTTTTAGAAACCAAATGACAGTGCAGGACTGTGATCTCAGAAAGAAGGAAAATCAATCAGGTAAGCATACCTAGAGGCAGTTTCCAGGCTGTGATGCAAAGCGGGCATAGGGAGGGAATCCAAGCAAAACATGGCCATCTGAGTTGAAGTCACAGACTATGGTCCAGAATGCCAAGGCAACTAGTATTTTCTGGCCAAATCCCAGAATGGTGGAAGTTACAAATGAGAGGACTCAGGAAAATTGCAGAAGGGTCCCACTGAATACTTGGCTGAGTACTAGTCTGGGCATGTATGAGAAGATACTACCCAAGACTGGGGAAAGAATCACCAGAAATAAACATGTTGAATAATTTACAGAGCTTTTACAGAGATGGGCATATTTTGTATTCCCACCAGCCAGAACTGAAAGGTCTCCAGATACCTGGGACATCAGGTAGAATCCTTTGAAAAGCGTTGCTTTAGATTTGGGGTTGTTAAGACCTACAGAAAAAGTAGCTCTGGACCTGATGTAAACATAAACACAAGCTTTGAAAGATTCCAACCAAACCCACGAAATGTAAATACAGGTCACAACACAATCTAACACTATTTAAACGAATATAACAAAATACAGCACCAAGAACATCAAATTTAAAATGTCAGGCCATCAGAGCTTCCCCGGGTGGTCTCCCCATAGAAACCAATTTGGGGCTCCTTACATCGTTGAGGCCTTAAGGCAGTTGGACTTCTTAGGCAGTTGGACAGTTGGACTTAGTTGGACTTCTTAGGCAGCAGTTAACTAAGGGAATGGTGGCAGCAATGCCTTTTATGACTGAGCCACCTAAGTCACCAAGGCCACTTTTGCCACATTCTGTTGGTTATAATCAAGTCACAAACTTGCCCAGATTCAAGAAGGGGAGTTAAATGTCCTGTCCTAATAAGGTCATGTGAAGGTTTTAGATAGAGATGTGTCTATTGCTTTAGACCTCTTTAAACAATGTCATCTGCCTCATAGATCTGAGTTAGCCTCTAGTATTGCCCTTCAACTGGAAAAACTACCTTTTAAATGACTTGTAGTACAAACCTGGGAAGCAAATTTTCTTAACTTCTCTTCATTTGAAATGTCCTTATCTTGATTTGTGAAGGGTATGTTTTACAAAACAGAGTTTTAGGTTCACAGGCCTTTTCTGTTTTTCTTTCCTTTCCTTTCTTTCCTTTGAAGATACTCTATTGCCTTCTGGTTATACTGATTCTTATTAGCAGCAGTCATTTTTATCATTGCCTTTCATTATGTCTTTTCTTCTTGGGGTGCTTTTAAGACTTTCTCTTTCATTTATTTATTTTTATTTATTTATTTATTTTTTAGCAATCTGACTGTAATGTACTTCAGTGTGGCTCTGTGTTTATCCTGCTTAAGATTCGTTGAGCTTTTTGAATCAATGGGTTAATGCTTTTTATGAAAGGTGGAAAAAAATTCAGCTATAGTTTATATTGAATATATCCATAGGCAGATTTTTAAAGGCCCTGTCTGCTGTTTTCAACATTTCTGTCATCAGTGGGTCTATTTCTATTGCCTGTCCTTTCTTCTTATGGGTCACATTTTCCTTTCTCTTTGCATGCCAAATCTTAACTTCTTGCTGTAAAATTGTTGAGGTTATGTGGTTAAGAGTCTGAAATTTTGTGTATGTTCTTCTTCCTTCAAAGACAGTTGAGTTTGGTTTTGGCAGGCAGTTATTTTATTGGCAGATGACCTTTATCTTGTTAAGTATCATTATTAGGCTTTGTTAGGGTGGATCAAGATTGGCTCTTACTCAAGAGCTTCAGTACTCTTAAGGCCTAACTTTCTAGGGTCTTACTGAATGTACAAGATGATTAGCTGGTCTTCAACTTTGGTTGGTCAGAATTCCAATGTCTGGCATTCCTACTCAGGTCACAGATCCTCAGTGGCTATACTCTGCCGGCCCTCACAGGATTTTACCCTCTGCAAATGGCAACTCAGTTTTGACCAAAGATTCATGGGCTCTCTGATGCAGACTTTTTTTTTTTTAATTTTATTTTATTTATTTGACAGAGAGAGATCACAAGTAGGCAGAGAGGCAGGCAGAGAGAGAGGGAAGCAGGCTCCCCGCTGAGAAGAGAGCCCGATGCGGGGCTCAATCCCAGGACCCTGGGATCATGACCTGAGCCGAAGGCAGAGGATGAACCCACCGAGCCACCCAGGTGCCCCTCTGATGCAGACTTTTAAACAATTCTTTTCTCTCTCGTATCTTGCCCCACAAATCCCAGCTGCCTCACCAGAGCTTGGGCCAATCTCTGTTTTTTTTTGTTGTTGTTGTTCTGTTTTGTCCTTTCTGTGTAAAACTCCAGTTTTGATTTGGGCTCTACTTTTCTGGGCACCTGTTTGGATAGTGCCCCCAGACAGAAAACGAGATTGAATGTCAAGTTTACCTTATGCATTTCCCCTTTCTAAAAGATCACAGCCTTGTGCTATCTACTGCCCAATACATGAAAAGAATTGCTCTATCCAGTTTTACAGTTGTTTATGGCAAAAAGGTAACGTTGATATTCTGTGGTGACTGAAACTGGAAGTCTCCAGTAAGTAATTAATTAAAACCAGCATTGCCAATAAACCTTAATTTCTAGCCATCAAAAATCCATTGGGGAGGGTATGTGCTATGCTGAGTGCTGTGAAGTGTGTAAACCTGGTGATTCATAGACTTGTAGCCCGGGGCGAATAATACATTATATGTTTATAAAAAAATTTAAAAATTTTTTTTAAAAATCAATCAAGGGAAACCAATAGGCAGTAAAAATCTTAAAAATGGGGAAGAAGTTTAGCACACTTTTAAGAATTTTCCACTGATTTTCTTAGAATCAGAAAAAAAAATTTCAAGTTGTCATAGAATTTCTGTTCATTTTCATTTCTCATTGATAGCACAATGAACACCAGAACACTCTCTATTTCTTCCTTCTCTTTCCTAACCAGAACTAATTTTGTGTTCAACTCCAAGGGGATGATTCACGATGAATCAACTATCCCAATAATGATGGTCCTCTGTCACTTTGCCAGATAATCTTGTGGCCTCCCTTAAAGCTGGAGGTGACTATGTATCTATGCCATTACCAATGAGACAGGGAAGTTTGTTAGGGATCTCCTGAAAAGGTCTTAATTTTCTTAATAAAAGGAATAAGTGACATTGGCCTCTTTTTTCCTGTCTTGAATGTAAGTCTCCTCCTCTTTTTTTTTTTTTCCTAACTGAAGTACAGCCGACATACAATATTATATTATAGTTTCAGGTGTACAACATAGTGATTTGACAATTATATGCATTACAAAATGATGACCACAAGTGAGCCACGATACAAAGTTCTTACAGTATTGATTATATTCCCTAAGCTCTAATTTTCACCTCTGTCATGTTCTTATTTTTTAAGTAGAATTTTGTACCTCTTAATCCCCATCACATATTTTACCCATTCCCCACCCTCCCTCTGGCATTCACCAGTTGGTTTTCTGTATTTATGAGTCTATTTCTGGGGTTTTATGTTTTACTTTTTAGATTCCACATTTAAGTGAACATGTGTTATTATCTTTTTCTTTCTGACTTATTTCACTTAGCACAATACTCTCTAGGTCCATCCATGTTGTTGTGAATGGCAAGACTGTATTCTTTTTTATGGCTGAATAATATTCCATTGTAGATACATGTCACATCTTCTTTCTCCATTCATCTATCTGTGGACACTTAGGTTGTTTCCATATTTTGGCTACTGTAAGTAATGCTGCAATCAACACAAGAGGGTATATATCTTTTCAAATTAGTGTTTCTGTTTTCTTTGGGTAAATTCTTAGAAGTGGAATTACTGGGTCAGAGGGCATTTCTGTTTTTACTTTCATTTTTTTGAAGGAATGTGAGTCTCTCCTGACTATTATATAATATATGTATGAGAAGGAATAATGTGTATGAAGAGGAAAAGTCCACACCACTCTAAGTATGGCATAAGAGAGGGAACAAAAGAGCCTGGGTCCTCTAAATGCCATATAATTTCACTCATCTTTGGAATCTAAAAAACAAAACAAATGAATAAACAAACCAAAAGCAGAATCAGACCAATAAATACGGAGAACAAACTGATGGTTGCCAGAGAAGAGCAGGTGGAAGGATGGGCAAAGAGGTGAAGGGGTGTGGAAGATACAGGCTTCCCGTTAAGGAATGAAGAAGTCATGCGAATAAAAGGCACAGCCCAGGAATAGTCAGTAATACTGTAACAGCACTGTATGGTGACAGGTGGTAGCTACACTTGTGGTGAGCAAAGCATAAGGTACAGAGAAGCTGAATCACTATGTTGTATACCTGAAACTAATGTAACACTGTGTGTCAACTCTACTATAGAAAAAAAAAAAAAGAGCCCAAGTCCTTGATGACATCACTGAGCAACTAAATCAATATAGCAACTCATTGTCTCTAAGAAAAATAAAACCCATTTTTTTAAACCACTCTGTCTAACATTTTGTTTCTACCTACAATAGAAAAGCATCTCCAACTGATAGATGCACACACATTCGTTTTTCAGATGAAGAAGAGTTTGCATATAAGATGTAAAAATAGGTTTAAAATTTAAAAAAAAAAAAGTGGCTGGGCACTGCATTCTTCTGAAGTCTTCAGACAAATCAGGTTTTCTTTGGTGTGTATTAAATGCATGTCTGCCTTGTATCCCCCCCTAGATGGCAAACTTGTTTGTGGCCAGAGATCTATGGCCTGTGTAGGGGCCTAGGCACCTCTGGGTGCTCAAATCAGCTTACTGATGGACCATTTCTATGCCCCCTTCAAGTTGTCTCCGCCATCCAGGTATTCAACTCCATCAGGAACGAAGACCCCACAGACCTTTTTTTTTTTTTTTTCATAGAAGTGAGTACACACACAAGTGAAACAAACAAGCAAAGGGATGGTTCTCTGTCTTACGTTCACATTCTCTGACATCCAAGTTGAACTGCTGTAGTGCTCCCAGAGTAAGCTGTCTTACTTCAGCTTCCAGCAAGAGCTGCATCAAGGATGTGGCTAAATGCTTGCAAGCTGACATACACGCCGTCTGGGCCACCTTTCCCTGGAATAACAAGAGCGTAAACCATATTGTTAATGGACTGAAATGAAATCCCAACAAAAATTATCAGAATTTATTTTTCCATTAGGGATTCCTTTAAGGTTTTCTCCATCATGATATCCTCGGCATTGAAAAATCTTGGATTAATTGGAGTGCCTGGTGGCAATCATCTTAAATATTACCTTCATCACCATGAGTAATATAGCTATAACATTAAACTAAGATTTACAAAGCCCAGCTATTTATTCAAGAAGCACTTTTTCCCCCAAATCAACAATAGATAAGCAATATTCAAAATCTTAATTAGATGAAAAAGGAATTTTTCTGTAGAGAATAAATTTCAGAAAGTCCTTCCAAAATTACTATGATTCTAAAGATTTATTTATTTATTTGAGAGAGAAAGAGAGAGAGAGAACAAGATGGGAGAGGTGCAGAGGGAGAGGGAGAAGCTGACTCCCCGCTGAGCAGGGAGCCAGATGTGGGGCTCGATCCCAGGACTACGGGATCATGATCTGAGCCGAAGGCACACATTTAACCGACTGAGCCACCTAAGCAATCCTGAAATTACTATAATTCTTAAGAAACAAATGTAAACATCATCCCCTAAGTTATCTAGAAACCAGAGTGCTTACGGCTTTATGATTTAACACACAAAAAATTAAAGAACAATTAAAATTTCCAGAAAATAAAAAATTAAAAGGATGAATTTTGTTTCTTTAAAAAATGAACACTGAGGGGTGCCTGGCTGGCTCAGTTGGTGGAGCATGTGACTCTTGACCTCAGGGTTGTGAGTTCAAGCCCCATGTTGGGTATAGAGATTACTTAAAAAAAATAAAATAAAATCTTAACAACAAAAAAAGTGTTCTTCAATTCTATGGTTCTGTTTGTATGTTCTGAAGATCCCCACTCTGGATGATTTAAGACAACAAATAGAAATACTTAAGTTAGGGAGTACTACACAGGCCAACTAAGAAAGAAGTTACATTATAAACAAAATCCACATTAAATGGTTTGCATTCAGTTAAACCCACTGGAGACTGGGAACCAAGAGCACATGAAGGAGAGCCAGAAATTTCACCAGTTACAGGCTCTGGGCCAACAATCAAGAGAGGGCACATCAAAGATGTGAGAAGCCTTGTCTGTGGCTTTTGAACAGTGAGAGTGGGAGTGGAGTGAAGCAATGAGGATAAGACTAAAGCAGATGCCCAGAGACAGCAGTGCAGATCAGAAGCCAGAAAAAGGGGTAAGAAACTACCTCTTGGGCATTACCATACACCCAAGATATGCTACAGTTAAGCAGCTGACATCTTATGCTATTTCATTTCATTCTCAGAATCACCGCAAGAAGTTGGTATTCTTTCTTCTTGTAGATGAATACACTAAGACTTTCTGGGAAGTTCAGAAATTTAGACAAACTCACACAGCTCTTTGGTATTTTGACCCAGTCCTAAATCTGTATCTTTCCACTACACCATCACCTATAAGGCAGTAGTAATTCTTACACTGTCTTACAATGAACCATGGAGCAAAACCTGGTCCAGATGATAACAGGGTTTATGGGTTATCCAAGGCATAGACTAGGCCCACACAGGTACGAGAGTGGCAGTTCAGGGGCCAACTCCTCAAATTCTGAGTATTGGCTGTGGCTTTCTTTTTAATGTGTAACCCAACATAATTATCTAGGCCAAGACAGATACTTAAAGAACCTGACAAGCTGAACATAGAGATGCTGTGAAAATCAAAGAGCTAAAAGCCCAGTGAAACTAGAGGCTGAAGAAGATAGCATTTGAAAGGCTTGTTTCAGTGGCCAAAACAGATTGCCAAGGAGAAGCAAAACTGGACTGGTAAAATAAAAAGATAGCTTAAGAGTCAGAAAGTTCCAATTTTTATTCACCACCATTTACTGGCTGTGCAATTTGGGATAAGTTAGTTGATCCTCCTGAATCATTATTCATCTCAAAATAGTAAAGGGCTTATTAACCTTAACATATTAACATGAAACACAGACTTGGCTTTCAAGTCCCAATCAATATATATCAATCAATAAGGCCAAATGCACTTATACATGACCACATGTTATACTACTCTTAATATACTGTTATTTAACTGCCCTCCAATTACGTTTCACCTTACTTCCCCTCAAGCTAATTATTTATTTCCAAACAAAATGATAATTGCAGAAATAAATGTCTTCATTGTTGAATATTTTGCTAAATCAAGAAAGCATTTTGGAACTTTGCTAATTCACAGTTCGCTATCCATTCCCCCTTTCACTTCCGGTTTCCATTACCACCGCGGTGTCCATAGGTTTTCTAAGAACGGATAAACACAGACTCAGGCAATAACAACCAACACACTATGCAATAAAGATTGGTGGTTTCACCCTATTCTTTAAGTAATCTTATTATGAAGTGGATGCTAAGAACATACAGCCAAAATCTCTAGAACAGGATAAGAATTTAGGACTTAAGAAAACCTAAACTTATGAAAAGTCCCATAAAACTCCCTTTTGGATACCTCTAAGAAGAGTTTCAAATCAGTCTCATCACATCTAGGCTGTATCTTATGAAGCTGTAAGAGTGCCAATGTACAATGCACAAAACTAAAGATGGAATATAAGACAAGATGAAAAATGAGCTAAGAATTATCACCATATTTTGAACATACGAGGAACGTGGGATGCTGGGAGATTTTGAGTCACAAGGTCTTATAGGTAGCTCAATAGGCAACATCATGTTGCCTCTCAATGCATCTATACTATTAATATACTCCAAGACAATCAGTAAATAACACCTAAATGAACTGAAAGTCCACTACCAAAGCACTTAAATAGTTCACACTAGTTTTCAATCCAGTTACAATTACTTTTTTTTAAGTTTGGGAAAGGGAGAGGAGTCAACCAAAGAGAAAACTCATGATGTTAATTCAATGTCAGGCTTATGACCATAGTGAGAACCATCGCTGGGCATGAATCAAGACCCATGAAAATACTTTTTTGATTTTTACCATGTAGCTCTTTGGTAACCAAATCAACTCACTTACTTCAAAAACATATCCAGATTCATATTCTCTAATTCAAATGATCTTTTCTATCTCCTATTCTATTTACTGTCTTCCTTGTATCATAATACTTCACACAGGGTGATATACTGCGTTATCATATCACGTATGTACATTTGCTCAAAAAGCATAGGGTTTGCAAGGAAAGAAACTATGGCACCCAAACTGTGCAAAGTAGGTATGTACTAATACCTAACTTTGTATCTCATAAGTATCTGATTTTCTTTACAAAAAGGGAGGAGATATCCACTGTTTCTGACACAAAGACACAACTAAACTCAATTAAAACAAATGTATAAGAGGGGCACCTGCATGGCTCAGTAGGTTAAGAATCTGCCGTAGGCTCAGGTCATGATCCTAGCGTCCAGCTCCCTGATCAGTGGGGAGTCTGCTTCTCCCTCTCCCTCTGCTGCTTTCCGCATTTCTGCTTTCTCTCCCTCTCATTCAAATAAATAAACAAAATCTTTTAAAAAACCACAAATGTACAGAAATCTTCCAGATTCCGTCAAAGTCCTACAGAAAGCTTAGTACTCATCACTTTCAATTACGATGTACTTTGATGACACACTAAGTGCAATTCACTGTACACAAGTGAACAGAGGTGAAAAGCTTAGAGAAAGCATCACCATCATCAACCAAATATCTCTATCACTATCACCAGAGCAGCTGCCTCGATTTATTGAGCACCATGTTCCAAAGTTTTGAAAGTACTCTCATATAATTCTCATAAGAACCCCATGAGGTATTTAATCCTCGATTTATAGATATGAGGAGGGAGGAGTTAAGCTACTGACTGTATCTTGTAACTGGTGGATCTAGGATATGAATCCTGTCAGACTTCAAAAACTTAACAATCATTTGATCCTGCTTCCCAGGAAAGGGACTTTGGTAGTTGCTACATGTTTCTCTTGCTCTGTGACATGGGATAAGGGAATGAAGAAGACAAGAAGATACAAAGCATACAAAGGCCAGGATACTGAGTGAAAAGTTTTTTCTCCTTTCCCCATCAAAAGAAAGCTGAATTCACAGTAGGAACTGAGAATGGACTCCAACCACAGCTCTCTGTCAACCTACTGGGATCAAACCCTGAGTCCAAGATCACCAAGGATCTTGTCTTACTCACTGCAAATGGCCAAAGCCAAATTCCTCCTTCTCTGGATAATTTTAGCAAGTTTCAAAGTAAGACAAAAGCCGAGTGCCAGGAACTATGCTGTGAAAGAGAGCTGTCCTTTCACACCAACTTTTGCTTCTGCTTCCTGAATAACACTCCCTTGCTCACATTTTGGTTTGTCAAATTTTTCTTTCTCAAGTTATTTAATGAATTATTTCACTGTGAAACACAGAAAAGTTCAGACACAGAAACTGATGTCTAGCAAGGAGAGTACGAACTACTCAGAGAGAATGTAAAGCGCCCTATAAATTGTCCTCTCTCTCTCTCTGTATACCTAGGTACCTCTGCTTCCTTAACCTTCAACCCTCACCTCTATGGTAGGCATTGCCTTTAATATGGATCTTTGTCTTACTTCTGCCTGCCTCATGGAACTTGATTTTTAAGTTCCTTTCCTTCACTGAACAAGGAAGCTACCTTGTTCCTTCTTCCTCAATAGCCTGTAGGTCTGGATGAGGCCCCTTCATTTCTGAGCACTAAACCTACTTATCTACTAAATCTACTTAGGATGGACATTCCGTAAGTTACATTTGGAGAAGCTCTGGATCTTTCCATATGTTTCTGCCATTTGGAACCCATGCCCGGGGCTTTGGTTCCCATGTGCCCCAGAAATCCCACAATAAATTTTTATTTCACTATGATACTTAAGCTACCTTAAAAATCACACATTCTCCCCAAGTAGATTTTCCCCACAACTGAATTCATGTCTTAGAATCCTGTCCAAAGAACAGTCTTAAAATCAATGAGAGAATCTGTATAAATATTCACTCATTAA